AAATGTGTTGCAGCACAGCTGATATTTCTCTCCATAATGGTGTCACAGCCAAACAGGAACAGACGAGGCAAAGCTACTGTGACAAAAAGCGGAGAGAGCAGAACATTCGAGATTGAACTGACATATTCTGCAGAGTGGGAGAATAGAGATAGAATGAAGCAGAATGATGAAATAGGGGTCCCTATGTCCTCTTTAACTCTCAGCCTTTAGCAGCCTAACAATAGAGATACCTCAGGATGACCTAAATCCCTCAAACTATAAACTTTATCAAAAAGGAAAGTTTTAAGCCTACACTTAAAAGTAGCCTCAGACTAAAACTGGTAGTTGGTTTCCACTGGAGAGATGCCTGATAACTAAAAGATCTGCCATTCTATTTTTAGAAATTCTTGGAACCACTAGTAAACCTGCAGATTTAGAGTGAAGTGCTCTGTTAGGAACATGAGGAACAATAATATCTCTGATATAAGATGGAGCTTGGCCATTTAAGGCTTTATATGTGAGAAGGTGTCATAATGGGTTTCAGGATGCTAGCCCATATGCAGAACACAACCGGAGGCAGGGGAAAAGTTCAAAGGTTTAATGAAGGATATGTACAAAAACAGGTCAGGTGGGTAATCAGGTCCAGGGGCTGGTCACAAATGGATTCACTGTTCAGAGGTTTGAGCTGAGCGGCGGGGGAACCAGGAGGGTCCAGTGGCTGTCGGCAGGCTGAGGACTTGGAGGAGGCTGAGCTTGGTTTAGGGCTTGCAGATTCCGGGTTTGAGTTTCCCTCCCAGATTCTTCAGGGAGCAGGTTGGCAGATCTTTGGCAGGTTTGGTTCTCCAGGGTTCTTCTGAGATCAGTCAAACCGATTTCCAACAGAGAAAACTCTTCAGGGGGTTTCCGGTTTCATGCAGGTTCAACCGTGACTGACTAACACTCTGGCACTGGAGTGTGGTCCTCAGCCCACTTAAATACTGGTCTCCTGATGAGCAGATAAGGAACAGCTGGTGAAGTCAGCTCCAGCTTCAGGAGATCCAATACGCCCTCTGGTGGAGAAAAGATAGACAGAACCCCAGATCCCAACAGTAACACAAACCACTAGGAAGGGATCCTCGGCGCCCTCTGGTGGGCAAGCCTCAGGATCCCAACAGAGCCACCCCCTCAAAGGTGGATTCCAGACGCCCTCAGAACAGTCTATGACACAAACA